CCTATTGCACTTACTGTACCTCCCTCTACTGTAATGTAACCTGTAAAGTGCTGAGTACACCTGTTAGCGCTATATAAATAAAATATACATACACTGTATACCTACCGCACTTACTGTACCTCCCTCTACTGTAATGTAACCTGAAAAGTGCTGAGTACACCTGTTAGTGTTATATAAATAAAATATACATACATTGTATACCTACTGTACCACCCTCTACTGTAATGTAACCTGTAAAGTGCTGAGTACACCTATTAGTGCTAAATAAATAAAATATACATACACTGTATACCTACTGCACTTACTGTATCTCCCTCTACTGTAATGTAACCTGTAAAGTGCTGAGTACACCTGTTAGTGCTATATAAATAAGATATACATACACTGTATACCTACTGCACTTACTGTACCTTCCTATACTGTAATGTAACCTGTAAAGTGCTGAGTACACCTGTTAGCGCTATATAAATAAAATATACATACACTGTATACCTACTGCACTTACTGTACCTCCCTCTACTGTAATGTAACCTGTAAAGTGCTGAGTACACCTGTTATTACTTTATAAATAAAATATACATACACTGTATACCTACTGCATTTACTGTACCTTCCTCTACTATAATGTAACCTGTAAAGTGCTGAGTATACCTGGTAGTGCTATATAAATAAAATATACATACACTGTATACCTACTGCACTTACTGTACCTCCCTCTACTGTAATGTAACCTGTAAAGTGCTGAGTACACCTGTTAGCGCTATATAAATATAATATACATACACTGTATACCTACTGCACTTACTGTACCTCCCTCTACTGTAACGTAACCTGTAAAGTGCTGAGTACACCTGGTAGCGCTATATAAATAAAATATACATACACTGTATACCTACTGCACTTACTGTACCTCCCTCTACTGTAATGTAACCTGTAAAGTGCAGAGTACACCTGTTAGCGCTATATAAATATAATATACACACACTGTATACCTACTGCACTTACTGTATCTCCCTCTACTGTAATGTAACCTGTAAAGGGCTGAGTACACCTGTTAGCGCTATATAAATAAAATATACATACACTGTATACCTACTGCACTTACTGTACCTCCCTCTACTGTAATGTAACCTGTAAAGTGCTGAGTACACCTGTTAGCGCTACATAAATATAATATACATACACTGTATACCTACTGCACTTACTGTACCTCCCTCTACTGTAATGTAACCTGTAAAGTGCTGAGTACACCTATTAGTGCTAAATAAATAAAATATACATACACTGTATACCTACTGCACTTACTGTATCTCCCTCTACTGTAATGTAACCTGTAAAGTGCTGAGTACACCTGTTAGTGCTATATAAATAAGATATACATACACTGTATACCTACTGCACTTACTGTACCTCCCTCTACTGTAATGTAACCTGTAAAGTGCTGAGTACACCTGTTAGTGCTATATAAATAAGATATACATACACTGTCTACCTACTGCACTTACTGTACCTTCCTATACTGTAATGTAACCTGTAAAGTGCTGAGTACACCTGTTAGTGCTATATAAATAAAATATACATACACTGTATACCTACTGCACTTACTGTATCTCCCTCTACTGTAATGTAAACTGTAAAGTGCAGAGTACACCTGTTAGTGCTATATAAATAAGATATACATACACTGTATACCTACTGCACTTACTGTACCTTCCTATACTGTAATGTAACCTGTAAAGTGCTGAGTACACCTGTTAGCGCTATATAAATAAAATATACATACACTGTATACCTACTGCACTTACTGTACCTCCCTCTACTGTAATGTAACCTGTAAAGTGCTGAGTACTCCTGTTAGCGCTATATAAATAACATATACATACACTGTATACCTACTGCACTTACTGTACCTCCCTCTACTGTAATGTAACCTGTAAAGTGCTGAGTACACCTGTTAGCGCTATATAAATAACATATACATACACTGTATACCTACTGCACTTACTGTACCTCCCTCTACTGTAATGTAACCTGTAAAGTGCTGAGTACACCTGTTAGCGCTATATAAATAACATATACATACACTGTATACCTATTGCACTTACTGTACCTCCCTCTACTGTAATGTAACCTGTAAAGTGCTGAGTACACCTGTTAGCGCTATATAAATAAAATATACACACACTGTATACCTACTGCACTTACTGTACCTCCCTCTACTGTAATGTAACCTGTAAAGTGCTGAGTACACCTGTTAGTGCTATATAAATAAAATATACATACACTGTATATCTACTGCACTTACTGTACCTCCCTCTACTGTAATGTAACCTGTAAAGTACTGAGTACACCTGTTAGCGCCATATAAATAAAATATACATACACTGTATACCTACTGCACTTACTGTGCCTCCCTCTACTGTAATGTAACCTGTAAAGTGCTAAGTACACCTGTTAGCGCTATATAAATATAATATACATACACTGTATACCTACTGCACTTATTGTACCTCCCTCTACTGTAATGTAACCTGTAAAGTGCTGAGTACACCTGTTAGCGCTATATAAATATGATATACATACACTGTCTACCTACTGCACTTACTGTATCTCCCTCTACTGTAATGTAACCTGTAAAGTGCTGAGTAAACCTGTTAGCGCTATATAAATAAGATATACATACACTGTCTACCTACTGCACTTACTGTACCTTCCTATACTGTAATGTAACCTGTAAAGTGCTGAGTACACCTGTTAGTGCTATATAAATAAAATATACATACACTGTATACCTACTGCACTTACTGTATCTCCCTCTACTGTAATGTAACCTGTAAAGTGCTGAGTACACCTGTTAGTGCTATATAAATAAGATATACATACACTGTATACCTACTGCACTTACTGTACCTTCCTATACTGTAATGTAACCTGTAAAGTGCTGAGTACACCTGTTAGCGCTATATAAATAAAATATACATACACTGTATACCTACTGCACTTACTGTACCTCCCTCTACTGTAATGTAACCTGTAATGTGCTGAGTACACCTGTTAGCGCTATATAAATAAAATATACATACACTGTATACCTACTGCACTTACTGTACCTCCCTCTACTGTAATGTAACCTGTAAAGTGCGGAGTACACCTGTTAGCGCTATATAAATAAAATATACATACACTGTATACCTACTGCACTTACTGTACCTCCCTCTACTGTAATGTAACCTGTAAAGTGCTGAGTACACCTGTTAGCGCTATATAAATAAAATATACATACACTGTATACCTACTGCACTTACTGTACCTCCCTCTACTGTAATGTAACCTGTAAAGTGCTGAGTACACCTGTTAGCGCTATATAAATAAAATATACATACACTGTATACCTACTGCACTTACTGTACCTCCCTCTACTGTAATGTAACCTGTAAAGTGCGGAGTACACCTGTTAGCGCTATATAAATAACATATACATACACTGTATACTTACTGCACTTACTGTACCTCCCTCTACTGTAATGTAACCTGTAAAGTGCTGAGTACACCTGTTAGCGCTATATAAATAACATATACATACACTGTATACCTACTGCACTTACTGTACCTCCCTCTACTGTAATATAACCTGTAAAGTGCTGAGTACACCTGTTAGCGCTATATAAATAAAATATACATACACTGTATACCTACTGCACTTACTGTACCTCCCTCTACTGTAATGTAACCTGTAAAGTGCTGAGTACACCTGTTAGCGCTATATAAATAATATATACATACACTGTATACCTACTGCACTTACTGTACCTCCCTCTACTGTAATGTAACCTGTAAAGTGCTGAGTACACCTGTTAGCGCTATATAAATAAAATATACATACACTGTATACCTACTGCACTTACTGTACCTCCCTCTACTGTAATGTAACCTGTAAAGTGCTGAGTACACCTGTTAGCGCTATATAAATACAATATACATACACTGTATACCTACTTACTGTATCCCTCTACTGTAATGTAACCTGTAAAGTGCTGAGTACACCTGTTAGCGCTATATAAATAAAATATACATACACTGTATACCTACTGCACTTACTGTACCTCCCTCTACTGTAATGTAACCTGTAAAGTGCTGAGTACACCTGTTAGCGCTATATAAATAACATATACATACACTGTATACCTACTGCACTTACTGTACCTCCCTCTACTGTAATGTAACCTGTAAAGTGCTGAGTACACCTGTTAGCGCTATATAAATAAAATATACACACACTGTATACCTACTGCACTTACTGTACCTCCCTCTACTGTAATGTAACCTGTAAAGTGCTGAGTACACCTGTTAGCGCTATATAAATACAATATACACACACTGTATACCTACTGCACTTACTGTACCTCCCTCTACTGTAATGTAACCTGTAAAGTGCTGAGTACACCTGTTAGCGCTATATAAATAAAATATACATACACTGTATACCTACTGTACTTACTGTACCTACCTATACTGTAACATAACCTACTGTCAGTTCACTTTCTAGTAAGTAAATCCCTTGCGTGTTGTAATAAAATGACTTTTTGGAGTCTTTCTGTGTGGAGAGTTAAGAACTTATATAACGACTTTGACCTCATTCTAGAATGTAAAATGGTTAATTGTTACTAATTATGGGGGGATGAAGGATTGACTCCTGTAATGTCTGTAGTGATGCAGTTTCAGACTTGGTGTCGTATTTTTTATATCACAATGTGATATTAATGGTAAATAATAAAGGTAACCAATATTGGAACTAACAGGAAGGTAAGTGTCTGTTCTCTTTAATAAGTAAAGTAATTGGCGGCCGTTTTGCACAGTTGATTATTATTGCTGTCTCGTACCAATGTTTAAAAAAATAGATTCACAAAATGGTGGAAGTGCTGAGTCTCTGCAGCTGTGTCTTGCGGCAAATGTTGGAAGAACCCAGACTTTACTAAATGTCCTGATTCTGCTCTCTCCGCAGCTGCTCCAAAAGGGCCGAAAATAACCATGAGTCCAACCAGAGCTCGGGTAGGAGACACTGTTCGGATCGCGGTGCAAGGATTCCAGGTAAACATACAAATTGTGTCCTGGATAAAGGTTAGAATTGCCAATGATAAGTCTGAGTTCTAGAGACCATTCTGGGTTTATCAACTAAACTGTGAAAAGAGAGCGCTCAGCATTGGTCGCAGTTCATTTATCGTAGTCTGAATTTTGAAATTCGGTTTTCAGTTTAATATAATTTGGTGTTTAGTAAAGAAACCCCATAGTTTTTAAACACATTTAATAGGTCACTTTTTATTTCTAATAAAGTCCTTATTTCATAGCAGACAAGAGCCATTACTTTATTTTTATCATAGTGAAAAACAGTACGGGAGCCAATCACAAAACAGCTTTTATTTAAGTTGTTTCATTTTGTATTCATTTTCTGTGTCCATCCATAAAACGCTAGAATGTGTTTAGATAAAGGAAGCACATCCCGTATATATTTTAATATCTCTGACTCCATTTTGTATCCCTCTCCATTTTGTTTTTGGTTACAGAATGATGTCTTTCCGGAGCCTCTCTTCACGTGGACCAGAGTGGGAGGACGACTCCTCGATGGCAGCTCAGAGCACGATGGCAAGGAACTGATTTTAGAAAGAGTTCCGGCCGAACTGAACGGCTCAATGTATCGCTGCACGGCACAGAATCCTCTGGGTTCTACGGACACACACACCAGACTTATAGTATTTGGTAAGCAGGGAACACCTACAGATTGATCCACAGGCTTCTACAGGCATACGGCAAGCTCATAGTGTTTGGTACACTACATACATTTATTGTGTGCCGCTGGCTCACACCAAACAAACAGGGGAAGGTTTATCAATGCGTTCTCTTCTAAAAAGTGGTCTAAATGACTAAAAATGGTGCAGTCACTATGGAATCCAGTAGGATCATCAGGCTGATTCCATGGGGGACTCCTCCAGGTTTACATTTTTCCACCAGATTTCAGTACAGATCAGGTTGATAAATCTCTCACATTGCACTTAAGCAGTGATCTCATTACCAGATCGACGATTTTTATAAGCAGCGAGAGCAATCCCTGGACTGTGCGATATAATCCTCCCAAAAAGTCCAGTAATCGATGCTGAAGTTTGTAAGTCTTTTTGTAAATATCGTGTTAAGAGCAGGATTGGATTAAATTGTTACATTGTGGGTAGACAATTAGAAAGGGTCCCACAATGTTACTGCTGCCTTTGATATCCTGTAAATTCTGCTAGTAAATCTTCTTTGACCTGGTCATCTGCCGTAAACTCCGCAGTGGGAAGTCTGAGATTCTATTAACAGGGTTATTTAAAGCTGACACTGGATTCATTTTGATTCTTTTTATCAATGCCCTGCGAGAAATGGCCAGGGGGGCATTAAATTCACTATCTACTGACAGATTGCGTCAATCCTTGCCCTAGAAATCCCCGCTCGCTGTTGTGTCTTGTTAATAATTCTTGGAATTCAGAAACCAGACAATTGTAGATCCAGTAAATTAAATTAAGCAGGGTTTCTGTCATGGCTTAAGGAGCAGCCTGGGACTCATACAATGGTGTGACATGCAGTGCGGAGGTTATTGGATCAGATAAAACACTCTACATCTGTCAGAATTCCAGCGACCTTTATACAATACCTCTTGGCCCATGTTACTCATGCAAGAGCTACCGACATCACCCTGACACAGAGGGGAATATTCTGGTCCAGTTTGTCACAGTCAGTGTTGTGTGAATATTAAAGGACCCAGTTAACCTTAATAAAGCTATGACGATTAATAAACGTAAGTTTAGTATTTTGTGGACCATGATATATTACTGTAAAAAATGTAGATGAATGGATGTTAATGTAGACTCTTTCTTAATTTCTTCTTGTCTTCAGTTGATTGATATATATACGTCTTTTGTATATATATTCTTGGGCCAAATGCTCGCCACAATAATATATGTCTATATTATTGAAAAGTAGTAATACGCAATCTGACTTACGGTTTCTTCAGGTTTATTCTTAGTTACGGATACATAAAACATAATATAGGATGTTACAGGATAATGGACATTTAACAGCAGATGGTAATTGCTGTACTTCTGATGGGAGAGTTACATCGTTGTACAGAGCCAAGCCAAGAGTGAGACCAAGACTAGACTGAGAGACCTCGTGTCCCTCTGTTACTATATAGAAGTGCTAATACTAACGTCAGCATATAACTCTAGCCATATAAGGACAAAACCCCCCACATCCACATTCCAGAGCTCTCGGACAAAGAAAGCCTTGTGACTTATTGATACCATCTGTTACTTATGTCAATCCACACATCCATATATATAATCAATAGAAACATAGAATATGCAATATTCTACATTCCCTCTGTTTATGGTTTGTTTTAAAACCATAACACAATGTAATTAACCTGTCCATTCATACATCACTTGTATCACATTCATTGAGCATAGAACAAGATGTAGTCACAACTTTCTATTATATGAGAGTTCTTAGAAGGTCGAGTTTCTATCCCTCATACTGCTTACTTTACTTCAAAACTCCCTCTGTTTCAGCTATGTATTGATATCCATATCCATATTACATCATAGCTACTTGAACATAATATATACATATATATAACAATAATAAATGAATAAAATAAAATATTTACAAATGTTGATCCAATAAACAATAAAGCAATCAGAAAGATCTACCTGCTCTGGTACAGTCGTATCTTTGTAGACAACAAAATCAAGATCGTAACTTTCTAAATAATAATAACTGTGTTTCACTATCATATTCCTAATACAGACACATATAACAAAGTATTTTTATTCTCAATACCTGATATTACTAAAGTACTAATAAATGTATTACTATAATATCCTGTCCAATTAGATTTCCATGAATCGTATGGTTTCTAGCAACTTAAAATCTTTATCATTTGTATTCATGAATTACATTCCTATACCATTAATACCACCTAGTGATGATTGTATCAGTACTTTACAATCATAGTATTTAATTTGTATATTCAGTAGGCTCTCACTACCTGAAATATACCAACACTACTTATAAGTCTCATTCAAAGGATGTGTTATCAACCATGAAGTTCTATAATAATTCTTCAATTTAGAAATTCTTCACCCAGAAATCTTTCTATCATAGATTTGTTTTAGTTTACATAATTATAATTTTCACTAAAATTCCACCTTGTAGTAACAAACTTTAAATTCAATAGAAACATAGTTTACTTTAAAAGAACTTGGAAAGAACAATTTAAATTCATTAGCATCACTCTCTTCATTAGCATTGTGATGACTTATTAATGTAATACATCTTAAAAGCAGGATTGTCCTAATGTTCTGACCAATCCATATTCCTTAGTACACTTCAACTGACTAAAATAAAATAAAATAAACAAAACTTGGGGTCATACTGCCCAGAAACTCTTATTCCTAGTCCGTGTCTAACAAACTCATAACATCTTATAACAACGTATTCATTGGATACCATCATATCCAGAAACCTATTCTCCCTAGTCCATACCTTTATAGACTTAGGTCAAATATAATTGTGTACTATTCTCTTTCCATTAAATTCAATTCCTCTTGGATCTCTGAACTCTTATATCCAAGGCATTCTTAATGTATAACATTACTTAATATAAATCAATATAAATTATTCTTCCTTAGTTTTCTTCCTTATGTTACCATTGTTTGTTTTACTTCACCTCGATATAAACAAATTACTCATTATAGTTAATCTGTGAAATACTATTGAACTCAATCTTTGTAGTATTAAGTAACCATGATCCTTATTTTATCAACTTCATATTTTATCTACTTCTGATACTTCTCATTCTATGTATAGGTCATAATGTAATAGTTCTCTCCATAATACTGTCCTTTCATAATTTTACTCCATGTGTTATATTTATAAGTACTCTCTTTTGGTATTAATACTCATAACTGTTAAATAACTTTTCATTGTCTGTTTTCTTCTTCATTAATATTTAGGAATTTATATTAGTGTCAATCTTTTATTTCTTTGTAAGTCTGTTAATCTTCTGTATCGAATGAACTCTGTAGAATCTTCCATCACAGTTTGCAGATCAGATGAAAAGTCTCTTTCCTACAGTCGATGTCCAGTTGTCTGAAGAATGCTTTTCTGATTTATTGCCACAAGGATCTGTCACGCTTTACCTACATTAAAACAAATAACATGTGCAGCATCAATACAATGGCTTACAATGTTTATATCTCATTATTATTACACAGTTTAACATTGAATCATATTGACTACACAAAACATACTCATATCTTCTCATGAGATCTACCATCTAGTGGTCATTACATTTATGCCATGTGATGTATAATCTTTACATTTCCTTTTATATTAAAATCTTTCTGAACATGTAAATTCTCAAACTTTTTATTAATCATACCTTATTAATCATACCCCCCTTTAAACTGTTTAATAATCTGGAGGTATAACCTAATCACATATCAGATGTTACAACAAAATATTGTTTTCCACTATACTTTAGCTATAGTAGCCATTTTGTCTTAACACTGGCACCATTTTGTCACATGAAACAAACTACAAAAACATATATTGTTTCCTTCATCAAATGTATTTGTAAATCTAGGTTTTATTCTATCAAAACTTGTGTCTTCTATGTAGTCAAAATATATGTATGTCCAGGCTTTGCAAAATATAGTAATCCATTATCAGTCATGACATTAAAATCTCATTCTCATGAATTAAATCAAAGATTTTAAATCAACCTCAGAAGCAACAACATTGTTTTTTCTTCTGTAAAATGATTGGAGTTACTGTATAATCGCATACACCCAATATAACATTGCATGTTCCTAACTGCTACATTAGTGTATTTCATACTGTCATATTTGCAAACTTGATGTAAATTTTTATTTTAATTAATTAACCTAATACTTTCTTATAACACACATAAAAACAATGAAAGACAGTACAGACTAACAATTCATTAAAACAACAAACTAACATAGATCTCTATTCTTGTGCTGTTTTTAATTCTGGAATCAGCTTGTGTACATCTGTTGGCATACATATCCATGCTTATTCCCTAAACTGATATTTCTTGAAGTTATCTGATTCTTATAACTTTCTGTGTTATACTGCATTGCTTGTCTGTCTCCTAATTTCGATTTAGCTAAAATTGCTTTTATTTGTCTGATTATCAGTTTACAAGGAAAGGCCTTTATTGATTTATCTCCACATGTATTTTCTCTGTCAAAATTTTCAATCAACATATTTAATTTCTCATTTGCTTTTGATTTAATATCTCGGATAAAATATCTGCAAGATCTTAAATAATGTTGTTTATTGCACCAAAAACAAATAACTTTAGGAGTTATATTCTGTCTTTGATTAACTCTACAATTTCTAGTTGAATAAATTGGGAGGGGCTCAGCTGTCTGTATCACTCTACACTCTGTCCTAGAAGAAGAAGAAGGAGGGCTGTAAAATCTGCACTTCTTCCTCTGCCTAAATCCACAAGTCGTTTTAACCCCTTCATTCTTGGTTTCCCTCCTTAAGTTATCCAAGAACAAAGCTACTTCTGTCAAAGTGCTTTTTTCTCTAGCTAACACAATTGCAGTTGGATCTAGATCTTGAAATTTTTTCACAAATTCATTAATTAACTGATTCTCAGGAAAATTAGCAACAAGTCTATATGCATTTTCAAATTTTACAAGAAAACTAAATATATCCTCCCCCTTGTGTGGTTTTAGTTTTTCCAACATTTCAGTGTCTGCAAAATCATTCCCTGTTGTTAATTTTATTAATTGTGTTAATCTGTCTTGCTTATTTCCATATATTATTTCATCATTGTCCTGAAATCTTACAGGCGCGGTCAGCCTACATGCCATTTGAGTCGGCAGCCATATTTGAAATAGTCTATTCCTTTGTTCGTCATTTAGGCTGTATTTGTCTAAATTAGACTCAAACATTTCAGCATTAGTAAATGCATCCACTGACGTGTCATAAACTGGAATACATTTCACAATTTTCATTAATTGTTCATGTATTTTCAAATTAAGTTTTGCAGTTCTGTCTTGAAATTTATATTTCTGCAAATCACTCTGTGAGGATACATTTTCAGTATCTATTGGTTCTGGGATTAGATTCTGTGCCTGTATTTTTCTGGTATTAACACACACTAGTTTAACTTCATTTCTAAGCTGGCAAATAAGATCATTTCTTAGTTCAACTCTATCCTCTAATTCACAGACTTTTTCTGACAATGTGCTCTCTGTTACTTTGTTACACTGTTCATTTAAATCTGATTTGTCTTCTGTTAACCCATTCAAATCTACTTCTTTTTCTGCTGATTCTAAATTGTCTTTACCTGTATTTCGTTTACAAATCAATGCATTGTAAGTACAGACTAGTTTCATAACATTTCTGATCTTTTGTTTTTTCTTATTAACAAACAATTTCTTGTCAATTTCACTATTGGCAATTTCACATTGTGTGTATAAAGATTGCCACAAAACAGCATCTGAATAGCTGCTATTACATGCAAACTGCAATTTACTTTTCTCTGCAATATCATTTATGAATTCCATGTTACTCACCAGATCAGTTATTTCTGTCTATTTCGTTGCTTCATCCACACAGCTGCGCAGTTCTTTGCTTGGACGCTTGCCAATGTCTGCCACGTGCTTGCTTCTAGAATTCACGTTGTATCTTGTGCTTTTTGTCTCAGTTGTAGAAAATAGTCTTGTACAGTCTTTGATTTGAAAACTTTCTTTTTCTTACAAACACAGTCTAGATTCTTTTTTTTCTCTTCAAGTTTGTTTTCCCAGTTCCAAAATAGCTTTGTAACTCGATTCTTCTCTCTCCCCCCTTGAAGTGGGAACAAAACTTTGAATAGAAGACTGGCTGGCTAGCCAATGTAAAAAACTAGATGAATGGATGTTAATGTAGACTCTTTCTTAATTTCTTCTTGTCTTCAGTTGATTGATATATATACGTCTTTTGTATATATATTCTTGGGCCAAATGCTCGCCACAATAATATATGTCTATATTATTGAAAAGTAGTAATACGCAATCTGACTTACGGTTTCTTCAGGTTTATTCTTAGTTACGGATACATAAAACATAATATAGGATGTTACAGGATAATGGACATTTAACAGCAGATGGTAATTGCTGTACTTCTGATGGGAGAGTTACATCGTTGTACAGAGCCAAGCCAAGAGTGAGACCAAGACTAGACTCGTGTCCCTCTGTTACTATATAGAAGTGCTAATACTAACGTCAGCATATAACTCTAGCCATATAAGGACAAAACCCCCACATCCACATTCCAGAGCTCTCGGACAAAGAAAGCCTTGTGACTTATTGATACCATCTGTTACTTATGTCAATCCACACATCCATATATATAATCAATAGAAACATAGAATATGCAATATTCTACAATTACACTGTTTATCCATAGGCAACATCAATAGCAAAAGACATAATGTTAAAGGGACACTCCAGACCCCTAAAGCACTTTATTTTGCTGTAAAGCGTTATGTGTGCAGAGTGAGGCCTGTTTTTCTTCACTTTGCAAAAAGTGTTGATTTTAATAGCTATTAGCACTTTTTATAAATGAACCTTTTTACAACCCCCCACCCCCCTGGCTGTCAATCAGACAACCAGTCCTGTTACTTCCTGGTTTGTTTAGCTCAGTGAAGATAAACTTAAGAGACAGCAATTGTCCAGAGCATCTGCCTTGCAAAGACTTCTCATTGAGCTGCATTGGGAAGACAGTGATTGGACAGCCAGAGAAAGTCTGGGCGGGGTTAGAAGGGGAGGACTTGCAAAGGCAGCAGACAAGAGATCTGCAGCTTTTGCAAGCTGTTTTTAGATATATCCCCAATGAAAAAGAAATAATTTAATGCATGCAAGTTTTCATTGGGGCTATATCTACTAAACAGTGATCTTTATTTATTTTGTATTTAGGCATTAAAGTCCCTTGAAAGAAATGGTGAGCACTTTTTCTACCTAAAAATAATCAATTTAATACAAGCCTTTCACATTTTTGTTTTCAAAAAGGTATTTTTGAATCAGCTAATAAAACTACATACCACCCATCTGTCCTCAATCACACAGGACAGTCCTGATTTAGGACCCTGCTTCTTCCCAGCTTTGTTTTATTAAATAAAGTGTAAGGAATATCTACCCGTATAACAGTGTGAAGAGCAGCCATGGTTGGGGCTAAGTCCCTGAGCGCATTCCCAAAAAGAAGCCCCATTAAAGTCAGTTGTATCTTGTCTCCCAAGCCAGCATGACCTGCAGGAACTAGTAGTACCGCGGGTGAATATGGGAAAGTAGGACGATGTGAATATTAATTATTGAAAGTGTTTGTGCCCTGACTTGCTTTATTCGTCACAGGTCAGGGGATTTATAAACATTTCTGTTTGAAAAACCCATTTATATCAGCAGTGTTTACTGTGATAAATAAATTATAAATATCAGGAATAGAAATGTGATATTTCCTCCGTAGAGTACGCCAGCCATGACAAACATGAAGAGAATGAAATGTCACCTGTATGTCGCTCTTGCTCAGGGATTCCTCGCCTCTTGGTCAGGACTTAAAATCGGCTCTATGTGCTTTTTCTCGGGATCTCCAAATCTTATACATCATATTATTATTATGAGCATTTAGCATTTATTGATCATCTCCCCGCAACTGACAGCGGTAATTAGTTACAGTAATGGGGAAAGCGTCTAATGTAGGGTTTTTATAGAATACATTTTGTTATATATTATTGAAACAGATCACCAATCTAATGCCTTGTTGGTTATTTACGTCAGTCCAGAAAATTAAAAAACGCTCTGCTCCAGCCTGTAATTCTTTTCTTTTAGGTTTTGCCTTTCACCTTATTCCAAGTGTTTGTTGGAAATAGCAAAAATATAACATGGACGGTCGCTATGTGTAATATCTTGCAGCATACAGCCTCAAGCTGTATGCTCAATCCATTTAGGGGGGATTAGGGGGGAGTGGGAGCGTTATCAGGTATTTCTTTGAAATATAATTCCATTTTCTGGTTATTTGCCAGCGCAATATACACACTCATTCTATTTCTACCTGAGGTAGGAATTGTCATGCAGCAAAAATTTGAATTAAAAAAATCTCCATTTAAATATAAAACACTTAGCGTTGTTGTACCTAAATTTCATAATTATTCAGCATGAAATGTTTTTGACCCAGAATCCTTCCTGACACAGGATGAATTGAATTGGGGGAAATGCTGAAAATAAACCAAGAGTTCTAGTTCGATTTATTCTGCATTCCTGCTAAAAACTGCAATGTGATTTGTTCCAAAAAAACTAAACGCTTTGTGTAGATATTCTAACGCCCGTCTGTTTTCTTTGCAGAAAACCCCAATATTCCGAGGGGAGCAGAAGATTCTAACAGTGAGTTGTTTAAATCCTACTGCTTGTATTAAACCAGAAAATAAATCAGCAAACGAGCCTAAAATAGATCACAGCAAGTTACATTTTTATATGTTTTTTAAAGTCAAGAAGTAAATTACTGACTGTTTCTAATAGCAACAGAGGCAAAAATAGATCGAGCTGCATAGCAATAAATAATTTTCCGAGGCCGGAACATAGGTAGCATATTGTAACAAGGACTTTGTAGATCAAACAGTTGGGCTTGTGTCATTGTCTGCACGATTAATATACTGTATCTACAATTAAGAGTCTACAGAATAAACTAACCAATTTGTTCTGTGAGCTGTGCGTCTCATTGGTTTAACCCTTTAGGAGCCGATTCGCCCAGATCAGGTCTTAATGCCTAACTTGGGTCTTTTCCACCCTGGGTTTTCTAAATGTTATCCCAAGTCAGTGCACTTTGTTAGACCCCATTATTGACCCTGGAGATGCATTTGAGAAGAAAGCAGTTGCCATCTTGACTCTGGCGAGTTCTGTCCCTGTTTAAGCTGTGATGTTGAATTATCATTTAATCCCCATTAAAGTATGTTTCCCAACAGTCCTGGATTTGACAAAGCATTCCTGATTTGTGACTCTTGTCCCACCTCTGATGAAAGCTCAATGTAGGCACCTGGCTAAAATGCTCTTGTGCCTATTGCCAGGCAGTTCTGTCCAGGTGAGAATGGAAGCCCTAGGGAGTCCACTGCTAAGGTTTTGGAATATACACCAGACAGATATTTATTCCCCACTTTTTTGTGTATCTTTAGTGAATTACATTATCACAATGCTTTTTCAGCCAATCCCCTACTATCCCAGTCTCATATCTCCCAGCGTTGCAAGGCTAGTATAAAGGATACTTGGTAACCCTTGAATTCACACAGTGACCTCCTCAGATCTGGGTACAAACCTTTCATTTTGAGAATATGCTTGTTGGCGTATTAACCCTTTCGGTATCACAACCTGTATATGAGATTTAGGCGCTCCATAGCGGTCATGCCCAATGGGTGATGACGGTTATATTAAGTGCCTGCTGGTGTTCTGGCCAGCCCCTCTGTCTACTACAGAGGATGGTATGCCTAACCGAGCCTGCACGGCACTATAATCTGCTCGGATGTTTGCAGGTTACAGCTCCCTGTTTAACACATGCCTGGTTTCATCCTGTCAACTATACTTACTGTATATGCATTATGCCCACACAGTCAGAATCGCTACAGAATCCCTCAGACTATGAGCAGATTACTTCCAATCGCACATCAGAAGGGAATTTGGTCATTTTTTTATTTCATCCTACTGTATGTTATAAAATCCTACACTAATTTTTCAGATATTAAAATATATTTTAATGTGGAATATTTTCACATCTCCAACTCCAATATCTCTGAGTAGATTAACAAAGGCAAACAAATAAGAATTCTATCAATTTATAAATGTTATTCTTTAAGGCTTCCCTAGGCAGCAGTTAATACCTTAAATTTTTTGGTTATGTATTTGAGGTTTCAAATAAATATATATTCTGTTTATTTGATTTCTTTTTACTCAGTAGTTAATTAACCACATTGTAATTGCTTTTAACCTACCTACAGATCTCCTAATAGACTAATCACATTGAAGGACACTTGTTTAGCACATTTCAGGAAATGCTCTTGGGCTATAGCAATATATTACTCATAGTGTCCCTTGAATTATTTTTTAAAATAAAAGAGAATTCCGATGATTCCAGATATTCTTGATTGGTCTCCTAGAATCATCAATACGGTAGATAAGGGAGGGTATTTTTTCGATTACCGTTTTCAGATAAGAAACAATTATTCTTGGCAGTTCGTATCCTTTATTTGCTATTTAAATGACTGCAAATTGTCCTGTCTGCATAGTTTGTACAGTTTCTTTGTGTCAATACCTGCATTACATCCAATCAATAGCCTCTAAAATGTGCAGAGGGTTGAGATAAGGTGTGAGTGAATGCGACTGGCTGAATGTCCCAGCAGGGTCCCACATAGTCTGCCGCTGTTAAGGCTGCCATTGTGCGATACAAACTATCAGTGTTTAGAAAATATCCCCCTGGTGAGCGTTTAATTCTTCTGCACTATTTGTGATTCTCTTAGCTTTGCACGATGTCAGGAGGGTCGCTCGTTCCTCAGGTACAAATCTTTTAGGACTCAAAGAAAACATTAGTTAGTGTAATTCTTTTCTTAACAATTGAATAAAGGCAAAAAAAAAAGTGTTGAATCGTTTGCTAACAGTACAATCCTCGTAGCAGTGTGTCCAGTGTATTTTTGTGGCTTGCGTGCTGTGATGAAAGAGCAAGACAGGGGACAATATTGTCTTTACCAAGATCGTTTATCGCAAACACTGAAATGTTCACACAGAACATCCTCACTGCAAAACTAAGGGTTGTACACAAACACCGGAAAATGCTTACGGTCCGAAAAATTCAAAAAAATGTTGCATATAACTTAGCTTTTCTGAGACATTTTATGTGACCTCATGACTGACTAATAACCGTTTATGGAGCTGAGATTGTAAGAGAACAAAATCAAGGTGTCTTATTTACACAGACTGATTTTTAAACACATCTATTGTAGTTTACTGTACATTACTGGGAGTGTTATTACTGTTATACACTCAGACACATTACTGGGAGTATTATTACTGTGTGGCTCTGTTATACACTCAGACACATTACTGGGAGTATTATTGCTGCGGAGCTCTGTTATACACTCAGACACATTACTGGGAGTATTATTGCTGTGGAGCTCTGTTATACACTCAGACACATTACTGGGAGTATTATTGCTGTGGAGCTCTGTTATACACTCAGACACATTACTGGGAGTATTATTGCTGTGGAGCTCTGTTATACACTCAGACACATTACTGGGAGTATTATTGCTGTGGAGCTCTGTTATACACTCAGACACATTACTGGGAGTATTATTGCTGTGGAGCTCTGTTATACACTCAGACACATTACTGGGAGTATTATTGCTGTGGAGCTCTGTTATACACTCAGACACATTACTGGGAGTATTATTGCTGTGGAGCTCTGTTATACACTCAGACACATTACTGGGAGTATTATTGCTGTGGAGCTCTGTTATACACTCAGACACATTACTGGGAGTATTATTGCTGTGGAGCTCTGTTATACACTCAGACACATCACTGGGAGTATTATTGCTGTGGAGCTCTGTTATACACTCAGACACATTACTGGGAGTATTATTGCTGTGGGCTCTGTTATACACTCAGACACATTACTGGGAGTATTATTACTGTGGAGCTCTGTTATACACTCAGACACATTACTGGGAGTATTATTGCTGTGGAGCTCTGTTATACACTAGACACATTACTGGGAGTATTATTGCTGTGGAGCTCTGTTATACACTCAGAAACATTACTGGGAGTATTATTGCTGTGGAGCTCTGTTATACACTCAGACACATTACTGGGAGTATTATTGCTGTGGAGCTCTGTTATACACTCAGACACATTACTGGGAGTATTATTGCTGTGTGGCTCTGTTATACACTCAGACACATTACTGGGAGTATTATTGCTGTGGAGCTCTGTTATACACTCAGACACATTACTGGGAGTATTATTGCTGTGGAGCTCTGTTATACACTCAGACACATTACTGGGAGTATTATTACTGTGTGGCTCTGTTATACACTCAGACACATTACTGGGAGTATTATTGGTGTGGAGCTCTGTTATACACTAGACACATTACTGGGAGTATTATTGCTGTGGAGCTCTGTTATACACTCAGAAACATTACTGGGAGTATTATTCCTGTGGAGCTCTGTTATACACTCAGACACATTACTGGGAGTATTATTGCTGTGGAGCTCTGTTATACACTCAGACACATTACTGGGAGTATTATTACTGTGGATCTCTGTTATACACTGAGACACATTACTGGGAGTATTATTGCTGTGGAGCTCTGTTATACACTCAGACACATTACTGGGAGTATTATTACTGTGGATTTCTGTTATACACTCAGACACATTACTGGGAGTATTATTGCTGTGGAGCTCTGTTATACACTCAGACACATTACTGGGAGTATTATTGCTGTGGAGCTCTGTTATACACTCACATTACTGGGAGTATTATTGCTGTGGAGCTCTGTTATACACTCAGACACATTACTGGGAGTATTATTGCTGTGGAGCTCTGTTATACACTCAGACACATTACTGGGAGTATTATTGCTGTGGAGCTCTGTTATACACTCAGACACATTACTGGGAGTATTATTGCTGTGGAGCTCTGTTATACACTCAGACACATTACTGGGAGTATTATTGCTGTGGAGCTCTGTTATACACTCAGACACATTACTGGGAGTATTATTGCTGTGGAGCTGTGTTATACACTCAGACACATTACTGGGAGTATTATAGCTGTGGGGCTCTGTTATACACTGACACATTACTGGGAGTATTATTGCTGTGGAGCTCTGTTATACACTCAGACACATTACTGGGAGTATTATTGCCGTGGAGCTCTGTTATACACTCAGACACATTACTGGGAGTATTATTGCTGTGGAGCTCTGTTATACACTCAGACACATTACTGGGAGTATTATTGCTGTGGAGCTCTGTTATACACTCAGACACATTACTGGGAGTATTATTGCTGTGGGGCTCCGTTATACACTCAGACACATTACTGGGAGTATTATTGCTGTGGAGCTCTGTTATACACTCAGACACATTACTGGGAGTATTATTGCTGTGGAGCTCTGTTATACACTCAGACACATTACTGGGAGTATTATTGCTGTGGGGCTCCGTTATACACTCAGACACATTACTGGGAGTATTATTGCTGTGGAGCTCCGTCATACACTCAGACACATTACTGGGAGTATTATTGCTGTGGAGCTCTGGTATACACTCAGACACATTACTGGGAGTATTATTGCTGTGGAGCTCTGTTATACACTCAGACACATTACTGGGAGTATTATTGCTGTGGAGCTCTGTTAAACACATTTAGACACACCAACAATATGGAGCTCCTAGTAAAGAGGGGCAGATGGATATAAATGAGGGACAGTGGGATTGTAGTAGGGACTGTCCCTCCTTGGGAGGTATTGATCTCCATTTTATACAGTATTTATTGTATGGCTGTGCATTAGATGCTGTACTGATGTCCACCTTATCTCACGTCTCGCTGTTCTTTTTACAGATTCAGTTCCCGTTATTGGCAGCTCCGGTCTTATTTTGGTGCTTCTCATCTTGACAGTAATTCTGGAACTTACGTGAAAAGAAAAAAACTTAAAACAAAATGGGAGCCTGTCGAATCCTCAAAGACTTCACAAAAAAAGTATTCCGTTTACTTCAATCAATAATTTTTTTTGTTTTTCTATACTAGCTCCAGTCTTGTTAATGGTGGATTTCTGTCTGTGTTTTGGCTTTCTCAAGCTGATAAATTAAAAAAAACAAAAAAAAAAAAAAATCTCTCCTTCTCAATATGTGTCTTTCCTGATTCACCGCTGCCCCCCAAAAAATGCACTGACTTCCCAAAAAAATAAAAATAGTAAAAAAAAAAACAAAACGACAAAAGGATTTTACAAAAGAGTTAATGCTTAGGAAACATGGCGGCTGAAGTGAAGAAACGCTCCTTTCACTCCCCGAATCTTTTTAACACGACACCACGAAGAGAAGATCCTTCTAGCTGCGTGTGGACAGCAGACATTTCTCTGGAGAGTTTAATTGCATATTTTTTAAGATATTATTGGTTCATTACTATAAAGAGTTTCTAATTAAAAAAAGACACTTAATATTCCTAGTAACTAATTGTCCGGTAACTTGGTTACATTTATATTTATAGCGACACCGTGGTTATTACCAATCTGACAGCTGTTACCGACCGTTAATATTCCCTATTTACACTTAAAAAGTCAAATCTTCATTAAAGCAAGCTTTATTTTCTTTGATTAAACATATATATGAAAATCTGTGAATATGTTTTTCATTTTGTGTGTACGATGATAAAACTGGTTCATTTTAAATTTAATGCAGCAATGTAAATAATATTTGCTCTGTACTTCCTTCTCACAATAGCAAAACTACTAAAGAAAAACTGGCGCAAATGGTGTCTCTGCCACGGTAGGCAGTGGTGTATTCTGGTTTCTGGTTTTGTGCCCTAGGCAGCACAAAACTCGGACATCCCCCCCTTGTCAATTTCTCTTCCTGACAGATACACGCCCTCACTGGTGCATGCACTGACATACACTCACTTACACTTACACAGTCATTGTCACACACACTGTTTAACCAACACACTCTTTCACTGAAACATACACATTCACAAACATACGCACTCACTCACAGTTACACTCACTCACATTCACTGACAGACACGCATTCATTGACAGACACATACACACTCACTGACAAAAACATATACACTCTCAGTGACAGATACACACTCACTAACACACACACACTCTCACTAACAGACACACACTAACACTCACTAACAGACACACTAACAAACTCACAGACACACGCTAACACACTCACTAACAGAACACACTCACTAACAGACACATTAACACTCTCACTAACAGACACACACTAACACGTTCACTAACAGACAAATTAATACACTCACTAACAGACACTAACACACAGCACATGCTAACACACTCACTAACAGAAAACACTAACACATTCACTAACAGACACACACACTCACTAACAGACACACACTAACACACTCACAATTTTTTACATTTTTTTTATTTTTTTTATTCAATCCACCCAGCCTCCCTACCTTTGGGAGTGCTGGAGTGGATTCTTCCCTGGGGTCCAGTGGGGTTGCTGCTGGCTGGGCTGGCAGGCAGGTGGTCAGGCGTGCGGTCAGACAGGCTCATATTGGAGACAGCTATGGAGCTCTGATCCTCCTGTTCAGCTCCCTCGCGTGCCTCTTAGTGTTGCCGGAGTGACGTCATATTCCGGCTCCGGCATCACTACAGTGCACGCAAGCGAGCTGAACAGGGGAAAGCTCCGGGGACAGAGCTCCCTTGCGCACACTGCAACATCATGCCAGCTTCGGGGGCTCCCTGAGGGCCCTTGTCAGCCTTGCAGTAAATACTCAGCTGATGGTAGGTATGATTAGAGTTTACTAAACAGCAAGCTCTGGCTATTTGACATTTGGTTACTTGATATAATAGTTGGAGATTTATTTGCAGCTATTTTTCCACCATGTTAAAACTGAACTCTTCAATTAGTAAACAGAAAATCAGTTGCAGAGAAAACAGAACGGCTCTTCCTTATCAAATATATAGATAAATAAAAAATATTCACTAGAAGTAAAAAAATAAATAAAATATAAATATTTTGTGGAACACAAACAAATGCATCATGTTTGCAAAGCAGACAAATGTATCTATCAATAGTGTCATTCAAAAGAGCGCTGCCGCTTGTATTTCTATTTATGAGTCAGTTTCATATTATTTTCCTTTACACAAGCTAATCTCTATCATGAAAATTGAACAGTGTTTCAGAGTGGAGGCGGCCATCTTGAACTAGTAGCACAACGTTAAACATTACTGATACAAATATGCTACAGAGATCATGTTATGTCAGCAGCAGTTGTCACTGTTATGTTTGTGTAGTGTAGAGCAAAGGATGCTGGGAATTGCAGCTATAGGGAAGAGATGAAAGATGGCCATCGGGTTTGTTAAAGGTAATATTTCCTGACATCATACCCAAAGGACAATCCAATATATGAAGTCAGGTTAAGGAGTGATTGGTCCAAACGTTGGCAGTCAGGAGCAGGCCAAGACCACCGTATCGCAGCTCACAATGTATCAGAGGAGTGTTTGAGGTTCCAAGACCCTGCTGGATTCTCTACACCATCTTGGCCGAGCCCTGTGGGACTCTCTCCAAAATGTCGGACGGGCCCTGTGGAGGTGTGAGACTTGTCTCAGCAGGGGGACACCAAGTGGGCAGACATGATGCGACCAGACCCTCTTTCTAAATCAACTATTATGGCTTACACTTTGGATTCTGTGACTTTATTATAAATCAAAATTTGTGAATAAAACCTGCCTATCCTGGTGACTCATTATGCTACCTTCTGGCACAGTCTAATGGAGCGATTTAGCCTTGAAGAAGCTACGATGCCTGCTTTCAGTGTTACTAGACTGTGATATTAATCATACTTTGTTTTTTATATGTCTCCCTCTTTTTGGGGCATCAAAGAGTTTCATAAAGAGATTCTGTGGCAGAGACGTGCGTCAATAATTCGTGGCTACACACAACTTCCCCAAAACCAGGAAAAGGAACTACCACCCACAATTGTAAGACGCAATGATTTGCAATCTGAAGAGATTTCCTTAGATCAGAAAACCTATAAAATAAACAAACATGTTGTTTCATGGTTTAATAAATATCTGTTATTGTTTCTCTGGTTAAATAAACTTGGCATCACCTTCAATACTTGTTATTTCTTAAGTCTATGAATGTTAATCCTTTATATACGAGGTCTGTTCCTCCTCCTTTGCAGTGGTTTTTACAGACTCTGTGTCTATCTCTCCTACAACCACATAAAACCGGCGGCAGATTTAGTATTCGCCGGCTCTGCGTATCGATAGAATGTATAATTTGATCATTCAGGGGACCTGCGAATCACCCCCGGGAATGGCATCGCTTTCCCATGTCAAGTAGAGGTCAAATCCACAGAACTGCTTTTTAACAAGCAAACAGACTTTATTTTGCAGAAACATCATTTATTCATAGCCATTTCTGCAGCTCGTTGTGTTAAACACAAGGCCCGGATTGACAATGAATATTTATTTTCCTTGTACTGACATCTGCACTTTGTTTTGTTTTTTCTTATTTGACTAAAAATTGCTCTTCCTTACAAACAAATTCAGCTTCCTCTGGGAGAGGAGCTTACAGGCATCTCCGACAGATTCTGCCGGTACGGTTAAACCTGCCGAGGAACAAGATTTAGAAGATGCAAAGGATCTTGGACTTCTTCATACAGCACAGTAAGTAACATCACAGTGCAGGCACCTTGTTTATTGACATCCCTAAGGCAGGTTCTATCAAACGCATCCTTTATAGGAATCCCATGATACAGGGGTGTTACGGCCAAGGTAGTCCTGTGGTTGACTTAAAAAGAATCCTAGTTTATGGACCGAAATCTGGCAGGAATCTGCTGACCAACCTAGCCAAAACCATCTTGTATGGCTTGAGAAGGGACCTCTAAACAGGCAAGGAATCATGGGAGCTGAAGTTCTACAACAACTGAAGACCAACCTTTTTCCATTCTCTGGACTACAACATTGAAAAGTCTGAGCCAGGCTTACACCAGCTGCCATAGGGGGTAGCATTAAATTAAAGGAACCTTAACTGTAAATCTAAGCGAATTGTAAAAACTCGCTCAGTATAAAATATACATAGCACAGGAGCATGCATTAGATAAATGCCATCTTGGCAATATTTGGCATCGTTTTACCATATAATCTTCACTGTTATCTAGCCCCTAGGTGCCAGTCAAATTGGGCGTTATATGTATACATACACAAGGGAGCACACTCATAGCTCTCTCTATATATATATTTATGTAGTCATCATAAGGGAGAAGATGAAAACCCATCTGAGTATTTGATCACAGACATGCAAGACATTTATTCTAAAAATGTTCTAAAATAAAGAACAAAATCTATGATTCATGTTTTTAAAGTGGAGCTGTCACAGTTTAGATAAAAGTATTTTTTAATCCTCCATTAGTTATAACTTAATGTTGCCCACTTTTATATACAAAGCTCTGCTTGTTCTATGTGTCTTTATGATTTCGATGAATAAAGCCGCAGTTTGATCCTTTTTCATTTAGAGTATTATGGGTAAAGTAGGCTAATTTGCATTAAATGCCATATCTATGCCTTTTCACAAATCTGTTAAAACAAGTGTTGTTAGAATGGAACCGTAAGTAAAATATAAAAAAAATTAGTAATAGTAACAGTATATTTTCTCAATGAGTATCTCAGGCATAACATCCCTGCTTTAATATAGCTCTATCTCCACTTATTGGCACCCGGTTAACTTTACTTTTCAGCTACAGGTAATAAATCGGTAATGTATTTTATATGAGCAGCTTTATTGCACCTAAAAACACATTTCCATTAATCACAGGAAAATATTGTACATTTTCACATCTTCTCTTACCCGGAGCTTGTTCGTTCACTAATTTACCTGGTCTAAATGCTAATTAGCCTCACCTCCCATGACCTGTAACAAAAACTAACTCTGGGTGTTATTTAATCTGATTTATTTATCTGTAAATAGAGAGCGGCCTATTCCAAAATATGCAGAAACATCTCAGTAAAAGGAATTCACTAGCCAGCAGAGCTTGCAATTTTGTCCACGTAATATAATGGGTGCAGTGGCCACGTTTATAACAAATTATATCGTTTACCTGCTTAGCTAAATGCATAATTTAATAACTTATTGTTAAAACAATACTTTCACAAGATTTACACTATAGTAAACATACTTTAGTGAGAGAAAGGGGTTGGATCATGGGTTAAATGGGTTAAACTGTGAAAGCTTTAGACTCAAAGAAGACATTTTTGTATGAGAATTCAGGGAATTCGTTAAAACACTGAGCTGTCTGGCGAGCCACATCTGGACTAGAGTGACATTAAAGGCAGAATTTATAGTGCCTTGTGGTTTTATAAAAGTAAAGGTGCAGGTAGGACACTGACAGATGGTGGCACCAAGGATTGTAATTAAGACAGGTCTGCATTAAATAAGAACTGTCTCTAATCAGGAAATTACTTATAATATGTGCTAATTGTTCTTTAATGAGATGCTTTATTACATTTTAAATTTATATTTAAAAATAAGCAAATGACATTACAACTTAATTGAGGCAAGGCACAGTCAGGGCACTCAATGCAAATGAGGAAGAGCAATATAAACTTTGTTTCATTTTTCCTGTTCTCCGTAAGCTCTCTCTATGCTGACTGCCAGGTGTAATGGGCGGAGCTTATAACAATGATTGACAGGGAGCTAAGATGGAGGTGGCTCTCTCTATACTGACTGCCAGGTGTAATGGGCGGAGCTTATACCAATGATTGACAGGGAGCTAGGATGTAGCAGAATAAAGACATGGATTTCTACAATATATTTCATTTTTCACACTTCTTAAATATACG